ATCTATAATAATAAAAGCATAATGTGCTAATTAGACTGGACAGCTGAACAACCTTCCAGATGACCTTTTGGACAAAGCTGGGGCTGTGAGGGCTGAGCTCCTTCCATGAATTCCGTGCATAGACCCTCTAGTCCTATATAATAAATAGGTAATATGCAAATTGACCATCACTCCAATACACAAGATGACTTCCCCCATGTGGTCAAAGATGGCCATCCCCATGTGGTCAAAGATGGATACCACAAGATGGCCATCAGGGGAGGGCAGTTGAGAGGGACCAGGCCTGAAGGGGAGAGCAGTTAGAGGCGACCAGGCCAGCAGGGAAGGGCCATTGTGGGTGACAGGGCCGGCAGGGGAGGGCAGTTGGGGGCAACTGAGCCAGCGGAGGAGCAGTTAGGCACTGATCAGGCTGGCAGGGGAGTGGTTAGAGGTGATCAGGCTGGCAGGCAGAAACAGTTAGGGGCAATAAGGCAGGCAGGCAAGTGAGCGGTTGGGAGCCAGCAGCCCCGGATTGTGAGAGGGATGTCTGACTGCTAGTTTAGGCCTGATCCCACTAAATGGGCAGTCAGGCATCCCTCGAGGGGTCCCAGATTGGAGAGGGTGCAGGCTGGGCTGAGGGACATTGTCCCCCCCCATGCATGAATTTTGTGCACCGGGCCTCTAGTCTATATACATATATAAAAGACTCAGCAACTGGCTGACCAGCCAATCAGATGGTAGCTATGATGCACACTGACCACCAGGGGGCAAACGTTCAATGCCGGAGCTGCTGAGTAACATCAACTTTGCAGAGTGCCCTCTTGCACTCAGGATCCCTCAGGGGATGTTGGACTGCTGGTTTCAGCCTGATCTCCATACACCAGGCCAAGGGACCCCCACCTGCTAGAGGAATCCCACTCACTTCACAGATGGCACCCCAGGTTCAGCCGACCACAGAGGGACCTTGGGAACTTGGCTCCAGGGCATGTCTGGCCCACCCTGCCAGCTACCTTCTAATTAATTTCCTTTCAATGCGTATGGATCCATGCACCAAGCCTCTAGTATTGAATAAAAGTGTTAAGAGTGGGCATACTTGTATTTTTTCTGACCTTAAAGTAAAAGCTCTCAGCTTTTTACTTTTGGGTATGATCTTAGCTGCGAGCTTGTCAAAAATGTCCTTAATTGTGTTGCAATACATTTCTTTTGTACCCAAGAATTTTTTATCATGAAATGATTTTGGATCTTGTCAAATGTTTTTTCTTTATTTATTGAGATAATCAAATAATTTTTATCTTTTATATTGTTAATATGTTGTATCACTCGGACTGACTTATGCATGTTGACCTGTTCTTTATTTTAATGACATGGTTTGTTACAGTAATTGATTTCTGAATGTTAAACCATTATTGCATTCCTGTGATGAATTCCACTGGGTCATGGCATTTACTCCTTTTTATATGTTGCTGGATTATTTTTGCCAGTACAGGCAGTCCTCAGGGTACATTGGACTTGATGTACCGCATTTCCTGGTTACATCCACCATTTCAACCTATGGCATTTGCACGAAGTTAGCCGGGGATCTAGTTGGCGAGCTGAGTGGATGAATACGCCATTTATAAGCCATTTTGGATTGTCCTTCATTCCCTCTCTTTCGTTTGTGTTGTTATTTTGGACATTTTTTGCCCTTCATTATGGCTCCTAATCGTAAGGCAGATTCTTCTGATGGCAGTGCTATGAAAAAAAGGAAAGCCATCACAATGGAAGTGAAAGTAAACATAATAAGACACTCAGAAAAGGGCAAAACACCAACCAACATTGGCCAGTTGCTTGGCCTAAGTCATACAACCGTCTCGATGATCATCGGCTATAAAAAGCTTACACTTGAACATGTGAAAGGATCTGCTCCTTGAGATCAACTGTGATTACAAAGCAGCATAGTGGTCTCATTATTGAGATGGAAAGATTATTAATGCTTTGGCTGGATGACCAGCATCAATGATGTATCCCAGTTAGTCTGATGTTGGTTCAGGAGAAAGCTGAACAATTGTTTGAGGCCTTGAAAAAAGAAAAGGGGGAAGGGAGTGAAAGTGAAGAGTTTGTGGCTAGTAAAGGTTGGATTATGCGTTTTAAGGCTCATGCTATTTGCACAATCTTAAGGTGCATGGGGAAGCTGCTAGTGGTGATGGGAAAGCAGCAGGTGATTTTCTTAGTGTGTTGGCTGAGATAATTAGGGAGGGGAGTTACCTTATAAACAATTGTTTAATGTGGATGAGACAGGCTTGTTCTGGAAGTGTATGCCTACACATATGTACATTGCCAAGGAGGAGAAGACAGCATCAGGCCATAAAGCCAGCAAGGAGAGTTTGACTTTGCTACTTGTGGCTAATGCTGCTGGTGCCTTCAAGCTGAAGCCCTTGTTGCTGTATCTGGCTAAGAATCCAAGGGTGCTCAAGGGCGCATGGAAGGGTCAACTACCTGTCATCTGGAAATCTAACAAGAAGGCATGGGTGACACTTAGCATATTTGAGGATTGGTTCACAAACCACTTTGTGTCAGAAGTGAAGGACTACTTTGCTTCAAAGGGGCTGCCCTTTAAGGTGTTGTTAGTGCTGGACAATGCCCCTGGTCACCCTGCTGATCTGAATGACTTTCATCCAAATGTCAAGGTGGTTTACCTTCCACCTATACCACCTCCCTTTTACAGCCTATGGATCAAGGTTTTATTGCCTCTTTCAAGGCCTACTACCTCTGAAGGACATTTGCTATGGCTTTTAGGGCAACTGAGGAGGATAAAGAGTTGACTCTCAAGGACTTTTGGAAATCTTACAATATTCTTGCTGCTATAAAAAACATTTCTGATTCTTGAGATGAAGTTAAGCAGACGAACCTGAATGGTGTTTGGAAAAAATTGTGTCCCCAGTTTGTGAATGATTTCCATGGCTTTGAGGATTCTGTTGAGGTTTTCATGAGGAATTCTTTGAAAAAACCACATAGTCATATCAATTGATGCA